AGAGTTAGTCTCTTCTTTGTTTTTTTCTTTTTCTTTTTTTTACTTGCTTGTAAGAATACACTATCTTTTCTTTGGTCATCGGAAGTATACGCTACCAAACGAACATTTTAATGACACGCCTTTTTTTTTCTTTTTAATTTTAGAAATTTCATTCATGGAGTCCGTTATAGGCCCAGTTCTTGAAAGTGTAGTAGGCGAACATGTAGATTGCCACAGAAACTTCCAAAATGATGTGGATGATCTCAGAAAAACAGTGGCAGTTCTAAAACGCAGAAGAAATGATAGAATAGCAGAACTTAAAATAGTGGATGACTTGGAAAAACAAGTTAAAGAAGAAGTGCAGGGATGGCTTGAAGATGCAAGGAAGGTCATTGAAATTGAAATGCCAGATATTGAAGAACAGGTGCAGAATGTTTCATACTTGTCACGTGGTAACCTTGGAAGACGTGTTCGTCAAAAGATTCAAGAAGTGAGGGAAATTTACGATCGAGGTAGTTTCCCTGAAGGTCTTGTAATTGAAAGGTCTCCAACTATTGGAATCACTTTGCCAACAGAGAATATGGTGGGCAAGGTTAATGTGAAGGAAAAAATTTGGGAATACTTAATGGGTCACGAGGTTGGAATTATTGGAGTTTGTGGAATTGGTGGAGTTGGCAAAACCACTGTTATGAAACACATCCATAATGAATTATTGAATGAGGCTAGCAGGTTTGAGAAGGTTGTCTGGGTTACAGTTTCACATCCTCTCAATGTTTTCAGATTGCAAGATGACATTGCTAGGGCAATGAAGAAAAGTCTTTCAGATTGTTGGGATGAATTGAGCCGGGCATCAAGACTAATGGAGGCTATGAAAACAGTTAAATATGCACTGATCTTAGATGATGTGTGGGATAAATTTACTTTTCACAGCATTGGAATCCCAAAACCAACAATGGAAAATGGGTGTAAAATTGTTATTACTAGCAGATCAATTGATGTATGCAACTACTTGAAATGTCAGGTAGTTAAAGTGCCACCTCTACCAGAGCAAGAGTCTTTGAACTTGTTTTTAGATAAGGTTGGGCAAGATGTTGTACGAATTCCCAATTTGGAAGAGATTTTGAAGCTTATGGTGGCTGAATGCGCTGGTTTGCCATTGGCCATTGTTGTCATTGCGGGAAGCATGAGAGGAGTACAAGATATTTTTGAGTGGAGAAATGCATTACGTGAATTGCGTCAATGCGTGGTGGACACAGAGAAAGATTCAGAGGATGAGATATTTAAACGTTTGAAGTTCAGTTATGACCGTCTACCAAATTCAAGCATCCAAGAATGTTTCTTATATTGCTCATTGCATCCAGAAGATTGGAATATTAGAAGAAAAGATCTAATTGAAAACTGGATTTGTGAGGGAACTGTTCAAAAATTAGGAAGCAGAAGAGAAATGCATGATAAAGGAAATGCTATTTTAAATAGGCTTTTAAACTGTTGTTTGTTAGAGGAAGCCTATGATAAGGCGTGTGTTAAGATGCATGATGTTGTGAGGGACATGGCATTGCGCATCAAGAGCACGGGTCCTGGTATGTTTATGGTAAAAGCTGGAATGAGATTGACAAAGATACCGGATGAGGATGAATGGAATGAAGATCTAGATAAGGTCTCCCTCATGAAAAATGAAATATCATATATCCCTCAAAATATGTCCCCCAAATGCTTGATGCTCTCAACCTTGATTTTGGAGGGTAATAACGAATTGAGACAAATTTCAGAGTGTTTTCTTGCTAACATGCCCCGGCTAAAGTTTCTTGATCTTTCTAGAACTGGCATTGAGGTTCTACCTAATTCCATATGTAACTTAGAATATCTCACTGCATTGATCCTCTGTGGATGTAACCGTTTAGAAGGCATGCCTTCCTTGTCAAAGCTTAAAGCACTGAAGAAGTTGGATTTGGATCGAGCAGGCCTTCGTGAGGCTCCTGAAGGCATTGAAATGTTAGAAAATCTCGAATATCTTGATTTATTTTGTCCAAACCTGAGGGTGCCACCAAGAGGAAAAATCAGTAAGCTCTTCCGCCTCCAACACCTACGTAAACATCGGATTTTTCCAACTGAAATAAAAGGAGAAGAAGTAGCAGGATTGAAGATGCTGGAATGGTTCGAAGGTAGATTTGATTGGGTGAAAGACTTCAGCAGTTTTGTTAGCAAGTTGAACCTTTTTGGAAGACCCAGTCATTACTATATCAGGGTGGGAGGCACGGACAAACATGGGGAGGGGCATTTTTGGAAGTTCAACAATAATGATCTTCCTAAACAGGTGATTTTATTCGAATGCGAGATTGGAGAAGAAGATGAGTTGGTCCTTCCAGATGACCTTCAGGATTTGAGGATTGAATACTGCAATATGGTCGGTGATATCTCTATTTTTGAGAAAAATTTGACTTAATTGCAAACATATGCTTTGAAATACTGCCAAGGGATAGAGTGTGTGGTCTGTTTGTCATCATTTTCATCTACTTCCTTGACAGTTATGAATAACCTTGAAGTACTAACTCTTGAGCATTTGCTTAGCTTGCGGGATGTTGTGAAAGTGGAAAAAGCAAGAGCATCGCTTGCACCGACAATATCCCTTCACATCTTTTCCAATCTTAAACAGCTGAGGGTATTCTATTGTTCAAAATTGAAGAAGCTTTTTCCATGTGAGCTGCTGCAGGGTCAGGGCCTCCAAAACTTGGAGCTGATTGAGGTGACTTATTGTGTGGGGATGAAGGAAATAATAGGATGGGAAGAAGAAGAGGAAGGAAATCAAACAACTACTCCAAGATTGATCACTCTTCCAAAATTAAGGATATTGAAGTTGCAATGCCTACCAGAATTGAAGAGAATCTGCCCCAGAAGAGGAGTAATGATTTGTGAATCTCTAAATAGCATCGAAATATTGACCTGTGTGAAGGTGAATAGGATTCCCCTTTGTCTAGGAAGGGAAAACGCACTTCCTGCTGTCAAACATATTTCTATTTTCAATCCAAAAAAATGGTGGGAATTGTTGGAGTGGGAGAATCCTGATGATAAGAATGTCCTCCTACCTTTCCTCCAATATACTCAGTAAGTGTCGTTAATCTCCCTTTTTCCATCACTTGCATTCCATTCCTTCTCTCTCACTGGTATTTCATAAATAAATGTTTCTATCTCTTGTTTCTGAATGAATCCAAGTGTTAATCTCCGTTTATTTGCTCAATTATCTAATCTTGATTGATTTGCTAATAAGATGTCTGTCTCACTAAATCCTTTTTGGATTATTCACAGCTGGGACACTTGGGTAGATATTAAATCTGGGTCTGTTTAGCGTTTCCTTTTGCCTCTACGAGTTTCAATTATCAATTGACTAGTTTCTAATGCGCAGCTCAGCTGAGGTATGTGTCTGTTGATTTGCTTCTGATGAGATGTCCATCTCCCTTAATTGGATGCTAATTCCTTTTTAAATTATTCATTCATAGGGAGCAAGAACCTGAATGGATTTCCTGAGTCATCCATTGAATATCAATCTGGTCAATCTGTGTCCACTTTCTAATGCCCAGTCCAAGTATATATGTTTATATTTTTCTTGAACATTTTTCTTTTTTCCATTTTTTTTTTTTTGGCTGACTAATATTTGCATCCTTAGAATTAAGTAATTTCTCCATACATGTTGGTGCAGGCTGCATCTCTTACCATCTCAAACCTATTTCTTCAACTCAGCAACATATACAGCCAAGGAAAACAAAAAAAATTAGGACTCACACTCGCTTCAATCTAATGCAATCTCTGTTGTAATTTGTTGTTTTGTACTATGGATAAACTTTGTTTAATTAATGCTTGTTTAGGTAATATTTGTTTTATTTTGTGTTGTAATAAGCAGTAAAACAGATTTGAGAAATTTCTTGTTTTATATTTTGTGACTGTTAACTATATCAACCTCAACATCTTAATTTCTTTAATCACATTATTGTTCAACTCTTGTGGCAATTGAACCCACATATATATATATATATATGTAGGCCACAGCAGACACTAGGTATGTACGTATACAATTATATGAATTTCCCTCATATTTTTTTGATCTATCAATTTAGTTAAAATCTTTTGTGGCTAACTTGACAGTCTCTGTGACTTACCTTTAGATTTTCTGCAGCCAACACACCCATATTTGGAGATCAACAATTATGTAAAAGTCCAAAATCGTAAGCAGAATTTAGATTGATTTAATTTGCTTTCTTGCTTCTAGCTGCCTCTACACTGGTAATTAGTTGATTCTATTTTTCTCATCCAAATATTAAGTGGTCTTAAAGGATTTGATATTGTCTTTTCACCAAAGTGCTCCTCAATTCATATTATGGGTCTTATTTGTTTATCTAAGTGTCAGTTCTATGTTTTCACTGTATCACACAATCTATTGAACCATGTTGGAGGGCTCTTATATACTGCTTCTCTGCAGTTGGGCCCTAGTGCAGCATCTAACGTAATGGAGTTTATGTGAATTGGATATATATGAGTTGGTATAGTTGGCCTATTGTTCAACTCTTGCAGCCATTCAACCTATACATAGGCCATAACAGACCCAAGGTATGAATTTCTCTCATATTTGATCTATTGATTTTGTTAAAAACTTCTGTGGCTAACTTGAGCATCTTAAGTTCCCTGCCAGAGCACACTTCTGCAGCCCTTCACCGTCTTTCCTCCCGCTTTCAGATTGTGCTTTCTTCTGTACCAGCTGCCTCTACCTTCCTATTCTACCCTGGTAAACTTTCAAGATTTCAGTGTTTTTAGATTTCACTTTAACAAATTCCATATGATGTCTATCTTGCTTAATTGGATGCTAATTCCTTTATAATTACCAATCACAGTGATTCATGTGTGATCATGTGAAAGTGAAAGGAACAGCAACGACTCACACATTGCCTGTACGTACCAACATTCCATCACATCTTTATCTAATTAAAGAATTTTGTGTAATTATTAGTTGTTCAAGAATGAAGAATTTGTTTCCCTTTGAAAAGCTGCAGGATCTTCACATTGATGATTGCAAAGAGTTATAGCATAGAAAAAAGAGGAATGAAATCAGACAATGGATGGAAGAGCTACATTCACTCTTCCAAAATTAACCTACTTTGGGACTTACATGACGACACAGAATTGAAGAGAACCTGCTTGAGCAATGGTTTGTTATTCTCTTAATTTTGACATTCTAAGTTAACCTTTTAAACTTAATAACTTATTTAAACTTGCTAGGACCAATCCTGTTTTGTCAAGTTTTTAATATGGTAAGACATGTCTTAACTCTTCTCATGATTCGGTGTTTTTTTTTTTTTTTGGGCCTCAACTCTGATTCAGCGTTGCTAATTCAAATCTCACTGAAGTTTTGGCACTAGCTGCAGCACTCTAAATTTGTGCATTTTCTTTTTTCAATTAATTTGTACAGTTGAT